CAACACACACACACAGCCCCAAGTCCTTCTCCGCAGGGCTGCTCTGAATCTCTTCTCTGCCAAACCTGTAGCTGTGCCTGGGATTGCCCAGACACATGTGTAGGACCTTGCACTCGGCTTGGTTAAACTTCATAATGTTGGCATCAGCCCACCTCACAAGCGTGTCAAGGTCCCTCTGGATGGCATTCCTTCCCTCCAGCATATCAACCGAACCACACAGCTTGGTGTCATCGGCAAACTTGCTGAGGGCGCACTCAATCCCACTGTCCATGTCAGCGACGAAGATGTTAAACAAGACCGGTCCCAACACCGATCCCTGAGGGACACCACTTGTTACTGTTTTCCAACTGGACACAGAGCCGTTGGCCACAGCTTTTTGCATTCTGCCATCCAGCCAGTTCTTTATTCACTGAGTGGTCCATCTATCAAATTGATGTCTCTCCAATTTAGAGACAAGTATGTCGTGTGGGACAGTATCTAGCGCTTTGCACAAGCCTAGGTACATGACATCAACTGCTCTACCACGTCCGTCAGTTCCGTAGCCCCATCATAGAAGGTCACCAAATTGGTCAGGCAGGATTTCCCCTTAGTGAAGCCATGCTGACTGTCACCAACCACCTTGTTGTTTTTCCATGTGCCTTAGCATGCCTTCCAGGAGAACCTGCTCCATGATTTTGCCAGGCACAGAAGTGAGACTGACTGGTCTGTAATTCCCCAGGTCATCCATTTTCCCCTTCTTGAAAATGGGGGTTATATTATCCTTTTTCCAGACACTGGGAACTTCACCTGACTGCCATGATTTTTCAAATATGATGGCCAGCGGCTTAGCAACCTCAATCGCCAGGTCCTTCAGGACCCACAGATGGATTTCATCTTGTGCACGTTCAGGTTCTTAAGATGGTCTCAAACCAGTTCCTCTCCTACAGTGGGCCCAAGGTCTTCATTCTCACAGTTCCTGCGTCTGCCTTCCAAGACTTTCGTGGTACGGTCAGAGCCTCTGACAGTGAAGACTGAAGCAAAAAAGTCATTAAGAACCTCAGCCTTCTCCAAATCCTGTGTAGCTAGTTCTCCTGAGAGCTTCCTGATGGGGCCTATGCTCTCCCTAGTCTGTTTTTTATTTGCTATGTACCTGTAGAATCCCTTCCTGTTATCCTTAATATCCCTAGCCAAGTTTAATTCTAACTGGGCCTTAGCTTTCCTAACCTGGTCCCTAGCTTCCCAGACAACATCCCTGTATTCTTCCCAGGCCACCTGTCCTTGCTTCCACCTTCTATAAGTCTCTTTTTTCCTTTGAACTTTCCTCAGCAGCTCCTTATCCATCCAAGGAGGTCTCCTGGCCCTCCTGCTGCACTTCCTTCTGGTTGGGATGCAACACTCCTGAGCTTGTAGTAGGTGATCCTTGAATATCAACCAACAGTCTTGGGCCCCCCTGCCCTCTAGGGCTATATCCCATGGAACCTTACTAAGCAGGTTCCTGAAGAGGCCAAAGTCTGCTCTCTTGAAGTCCAGGGCAGTGAGCTTGCTGCATGCTCTTCTCACTGTCCTGAGAATTTTGAACTCAACCATCTCATGATCGCTGCAACCAAGGCTGCCCTGGAGCGTCACATTTCCAACCAGCCCCTCCCTGTTGGTGAGCACAAGGTCAAGCATGGCACCTCTCCTTGTCGGCTCCTCTATTTCTTGCAGGAGGAAGATGTCTTCCACACAGTCGAGGACCCTCCTGGATTGTTTCTGCCAGGCCGTACTGTCCCTCCAACAGGTATCAGGGTGGTTCAGGTCCCCCATGAGGACAAGGGCCTTTGAGCGTGAGGCTGATCCTATCTGTCTATATAGCGCTTCATCCACAGAGTCCTCTTGATCAGTCAGTCTGTAACAGATCCCCAGAATAACGTCCCCCATCACTGTTCTCCCTTTGACCCTGACCCACAAACTCTCTGTTGACTGCTCACCTGTCCCCAGAGTTCCATACTCTCCAGCCTATCACTGACACTAATAGCAACTCCCCCTCCCCATCTGCTGGGCCTGTCTTTTCTAAAGAGCCTGTAACCTTCCATTCCAACACTCCAGTCACAGGAGCCATCCCACCATGTGTCTGTGATACCAATTAACATGACTTTAAGCACTTATTTCTATGGAGTCAGTCAAGGTTTGCACAAGCCATTTGACCACACTCATCCTATAAAACCCATTTGCCACAGAAGAATTTCAAATATGCATTCTCTAGCCAGAAATATCCCTGTTCTTCCAACCTACACTCCTTGATTAGGTAGATAAAGCACTCCAGATGAAAGCCTAATTAATCAACAACACTGCTTTTGCAGACTCATGTTTGAACTAGCTGGTCTCAAGTCCCTACTTGGATTTTACTGTTCAAGACATGACAAAGTTTTCCCTCAGGACTATGCCTGAGTTAGAAACATAGAATAGTTAGGGTTGGAAAGGACCTTAAGATCATCAAGTTCCAACCCTCCTGCCACGGGCAGGGACACCTCACACTAAACCATATCAGTCTTCTCCAAATCCTGTGTAGCCAGTTCTCCCGAGAGCTTCCTGAGGAGGCCTACGTTCTCCCTAGTCTGTTTTTTATTTGCTTTGTACCTGTAGAATCCCTTCCTGTTATCCTTAATATCCCTAGCAAAGTTTAATTCTAAGTGGGCCTTAGCTTTCCTAACCTGATCCCTAGCTTTCCGTACAACATCCCTGTATTCTTCCCAGGCCACCTGTCCTTGCTTCCATCTTTTATAAGCCTCTTTTTTCCTTTGAGTTTTCCTCAGCAGTTCCTTATCCATCCAAGGAGGTCTCCTGGCCCTCCTGCTGCACTTCCTGCTCGTTGGGATGCAACACTCCTGAGCTTGTAGTAGGTGATCCTGGAATATCAACCAACAGTCTTGGGCCCCCCTTCCCTCTAGGGCTATATCCCATGGAACCTTACTAAGCAGGTTCCTGAAGAGGCCAAAGTCTGCTCTCTTGAAGTCCAGGGCAGTGAGCTTGCTGCATGCTCTTCTCACTGTCCTGAGAATTTTGAACTCAACCATCTCATGATCGCTGCAACCAAGGCTGCCCTGGAGCGTCACATTTCCAACCAGCCCCTCCCTGTTGGTGAGCACAAGGTCAAGCATGGCACCTCTCCTTGTCGGCTCCTCTATTTCTTGCAGGAGGAAGATGTCTTCCACACAGTCGAGGACCCTCCTGGATTGTTTCTGCCAGGCCGTACTGTCCCTCCAACAGGTATCAGGGTGGTTCAGGTCCCCCATGAGGACAAGGGCCTTTGAGCGTGAGGCTGATCCTATCTGTCTATATAGCGCTTCATCCACAGAGTCCTCTTGATCAGTCAGTCTGTAACAGATCCCCAGAATAACGTCCCCCATCACTGTTCTCCCTTTGACCCTGACCCACAAACTCTCTGTTGACTGCTCACCTGTCCCCAGAGTTCCATACTCTCCAGCCTATCACTGACACTAATAGCAACTCCCCCTCCCCATCTGCTGGGCCTGTCTTTTCTAAAGAGCCTGTAACCTTCCATTCCAACACTCCAGTCACAGGAGCCATCCCACCATGTGTCTGTGATACCAATTAACATGACTTTAAGCACTTATTTCTATGGAGTCAGTCAAGGTTTGCACAAGCCATTTGACCACACTCATCCTATAAAACCCATTTGCCACAGAAGAATTTCAAATATGCATTCTCTAGCCAGAAATATCCCTGTTCTTCCAACCTACACTCCTTGATTAGGTAGATAAAGCACTCCAGATGAAAGCCTAATTAATCAACAACACTGCTTTTGCAGACTCATGTTTGAACTAGCTGGTCTCAAGTCCCTACTTGGATTTTACTGTTCAAGACATGACAAAGTTTTCCCTCAGGACTATGCCTGAGTTAGAAACATAGAATAGTTAGGGTTGGAAAGGACCTTAAGATCATCAAGTTCCAACCCTCCTGCCACGGGCAGGGACACCTCACACTAAACCATATCAGTCTTCTCCAAATCCTGTGTAGCCAGTTCTCCCGAGAGCTTCCTGAGGAGGCCTACGTTCTCCCTAGTCTGTTTTTTATTTGCTTTGTACCTGTAGAATCCCTTCCTGTTATCCTTAATATCCCTAGCAAAGTTTAATTCTAAGTGGGCCTTAGCTTTCCTAACCTGATCCCTAGCTTTCCGTACAACATCCCTGTATTCTTCCCAGGACGCCTGTCCTTGCTTCCACTTTCTATAAGACTCTTTTTTCATCTGAATTTTTCTCAGCAGCTCCTTATCCATCCAAGGAGGTCTCCTGGCCCTCCTACTGCATTTCCTTCTCGGGATGCAACACTCCTGAGCTTGCAGGAGGTGATCCTTGAATATCAACCAACAGTCTTGGGCCCCCCTACCCTCTAGAGCTATATCCCATGGAACCTTACTAAGCAGGTTCCTGAAGAGGCCAAAGTCTGCTCTCTTGAAGTCCAGGGCAGTGAGCTTGCTGCATGCTCTTCTCACTGTCCTGATGATCTCAAATTCGAGTTCTTCCTTCACAAACAGTACTGCAGCAAGGGGGATCACTATCTGCTTCAGTTTGTCATGTCTGTTCTAGAGAAACTTACAGTAGCCATGATATTACACCTATCTGCTGAAACAAGCCTCCATCCTGCGCAGGATCCCAGCCATCAACCTCCAGGCAGCTTTTCTTAGTGAGTTTAAGGACCACCTCTCAGGACCATAGAATGGTTTGGGCTGGAAAGGAGCCTAAGCTCATCCAGTTCCAACCCTCTGCCACAGGCAGAGACACCTTCCAGTAGACAAAGTTGCTCCAAGCCCCATCCAGCCTGGCACTGAACACTGCCAGGGGCAATGCATTCTCCAGTGTCTCACCACCTTCATGGTACCCTCCATACTTGGCCATGTACTATCATTTTCTGCTTGCCAACTAGATAAAAGCCTTTCAAGAGCCAGAGCCAACCTGCAGAACAGGCAAACTAAGTGAATCGCATGCCTGTAGTTCTCAGTGTACTGAGCTGTTTCTTACCACTGTCAGAGGAGTCTTCTTTCTTAGACCGCATCTTTCTCTTTCGGCCACGTTTGCCCTTCTTTGTTTCTCCTCCATTCTCTCCTTCCCCACCATCTAGGCCAGAGCAGTTATCAGCATGTCTGGCCATTGTGTTCTACTCAGCAGAAGATTAAACACACAACAAAAAAATACAACATGCATTGATTTCAAGATCAGATATTCCAACTCTGTATTTTCAAACACATTCCTGGTACCATGTTTTGGGGTAAATTTAATTTCATTAACTTTTATGAATAAAAGTTACATTTTCCCATTGCTTATGATGTCAAATTGAATAAGCGCTAGTACTAATTCTGTATTATACCAGGTCTCCCCATATCTTTTCCTCTCAGAAAGAAATGCTTTATTAAAAAGATTAATACTATGCCCTGTACCTCACCCACCTTTCCTTTTGGGTAACCATGTTCCACTCCCCTTGGCTAAAAGCCTCTTTCCACCCCAATTCCACCCACAATTCATGTATTCCCTTACCCTGCGAGTGAATGTTTTGCCACACTTGGAACAGACAAAGGCAGCAGGGACAAAGTTGGGATCATGGTATCGTTTGAAGTGCATATCGAGCAGCTGTTTCTGACGGAAGGTTTTATCACAATGGCTACAGGCATAAGGCTTTTCTCCAGTATGGGTCCGTTTGTGCATGACCATATGCCGCTCCTGACAGGGACAAGCAAGATGGGAGAAGCAGCTTGAGAACACAAGACATGGATACAGAAGAGCAAGTTTTCAGCTAAAAGGAAGCCAAAACTTTTTCCTTAATATCAAGAAAAGGATGATTCTACAGCAACGTGAGAACATCTTGATTGATGGCATATTCAGTCCTAGCTACTTCCATCCTGGATGGACTCTAATCGCTTTTTCAACAGGAACATCGAGATTGTAGCTTAGGAGACATCTCTCTACAGGGGAGCACTACACCTAGAAGCAAAGGCCACTGAACTTTCCCTTCACACCCTTCAAAAGGTTTAGAGCACTAATTTGATCTTGACAGCTGGTTAAACTTAACAGCCAAGATCTCCACCTCCTACTTTCAGCTCCTGTTCCAACACCAGTCCCAACAGCTTACCTGTCTGCATGCATAATCACACTGGTCACACTTGAAGCGCTTCTCATTCTTGTGAGACTTCTGATGCTGTATGAGGGCATATCGCTCGTGGAACACGGCATCACAGTAGCGACACTTCTTGCCCTGCTCGATGTAGGAATGCTGCTTTCGCAAGTGGACACCTGGGAGCAAAAGAATCAGAGGCTTTAACCACCATGGCTTTCTAAGCATGAAAGATTAGCCTGAAGTTCCCTTGGAGACCTTCCCTCCACATTCTTTTGAGCTCAAGCCAAGAAAGTGAAATAGTTAATTTAGGATGCAACTAAAGACCTAAAAGACTTGTAATTAAAAGCAACAAGAACAATTTCTAGACAGAAAGGGCTTGCAGGAAAACTCCATCAAGGTTTTCCACAGGATTCTAGATTTATTAGTCACAATCTGTGCTAGTATGAAATACTTGCATTTGATAACATACGATTGTCTAACTAGAGTCTTGTGGACTGTTATAGAATCATAGAAACAACTAAGTTGGAAAAGACCTTTAAGATCATCAAGTCCAACCGCTAACCCAGCACTGCCAAGGCCACCACTAAACTATGTCACTAAGGGCCTTGTCTATGCTTAAGAGTAATCAAAATTGCCTGGATACAGCCAGAGGCCAGGTAATACAGCAGGGGAAAAAATTATATCCTGCAGGATTAGAAGTCAGAGTGACAGGGCTAGAAGGCAACAGGGATACCAGCAGATAATCCCCAACAGGGGTTTTAGTAATTTATTTCAGATCCTCCAGCTAAGAGCATACCACAGCTACACAAGGTAGTATAGGGTAGATTAAAGCATTATTAGAAGAAAAATTCATACCTAGCATCAGTTTTCCCCTGTTGTAAGTCAGCTCAATTGCTCCTGACATCAACTGATTGACATCCTCTCAAACTGCTTCTTGTTGTAGCAAGTTACACTTGCCTATACTGGAAGGGAACCTGCCTTCCCATTACTTGGGTCATGTTCTGTTTACAGACAAAGTTCTGCCAAATCATGTCTTCTTCCTTCTCCACAGCTTCTCTGGGCATGATATTTTTCACCTTCTTGTAGAACATGAAAGCTTCCCTGCTGGAATCACACTGGGTACTGTTCACTAGATCAAGACCTTCCTACTGCAAGGACTCAGGGCTCTTGTGGCAACTCAGTTTCTCCTACTCTGTCTGTGGCACACAGCTCCACATCCTGGAAAATTAAACTGTTTGGTCTAATTCAAACCTTTTAGCTTTATGAAAATATCTCTGCATGAAACTTAATGGCCTTCAACATGCAGGAGGTCACCAGATGTTCTTTAAGATCCCTTCCAACCCCAACCCATTCTATGATTTTATGCTTTTTTAGACCCCAAACCATATACAGTTGTAATCTCAGTCCAAGTTCAATAAATGCCTTGCATCTATAGGCTGAAAACAGTAGCGTGCCCTGTATGCTTGGAAAACATGCTACATTTTCAAAGAATGAAAAGAAACTGAAAGTTCTTACAGTTTGCAGCAGCTACTGTAAGCTGAAAGGTTGTATTACCAGCCACACACCTAAGCCTGTTCTTCATATTGTACAGTTACCACAAGTATTAGGTTAGAAGAGACAGCAGTTGGGTTATGCAAGCTCTAATTCTGGAGAATATCTGTGAGATACATACCCAAGTCACTCTTTCTTGCTATAACAGTATCACAGTGAGGACAGTGAAATTTGGCCACATTCTCTGTGTGCTTCTGCAAAATGTGCATCTTCATGGTCCCACTCTGAGTGAAGCGAGCATGACAGATGTAACATTCATATGGCTTCTCTCCTTCAGGAGAAAATAGCACAAGTACTTTTATTAAAGAAATCTCACCAAAAAGCCCCAAACAAAACAACATCCCAGAACTTTGAACATACAGCTAGCTGATAGAAATAGTAACTCTAGAAAGAGCTCAATGATGCATCTCTCTCTAGAGGTTTTAGCTCCAGCATGCTCCTTTCTGCAAAGAGACTCAAGTTCAGTCTTTAAGCAAATTAGTTAAACTATTACCCTTATTATCAGAAATGCATGAAGACTTACATGCAGGCTGCCAGACGACAGCAGGTGGAATCAGAGTTTTTTGGAGGCAGAGGTTCTGAAAGCTCATATATACATGCAAGGGCATTTCCTCCTCACCCCTCCAATTTTAGCAATACGGTTAATCTGGCACTTCAGTAGCATTCTGTGCCAAAACCATCCTTATGTATACTAAAGGAAAAGTTCAGGTCTTTACTAACATGCATGAGATGCTTTTGCAAATACACTCATGCATGAAATTGCAAATGGCTATAATATTCTGCTGGAAGCTGAACACTGATAATAGAAGTTTCTTCTGTTCCTACCACAAGTGCCTGTATTTTATCACCTCACAAACTGGAAATCAGAGTCCTCCAAGCTCATTTCTCAGTGCAGATTATAAATTTACTAGTGCTTACTTTACTATGGCGCATTCTCTTCAGCTGCAAACTTTATAAAGGTTTAATATTAAACTACAAAATAGCATTTATTTTACTGCTTAAGTGCTAGCACACATTGTACACAGCCTCAGCACTGACACTAAAACCCCAGGACATCAATACCAGAGTGGGTCCTCATGTGCCTCTTCAGTTTGTAGGTATCCCTGCTGGCATAGCTGCACAAGCTGCACTGGAACGGACGCTCTCCAGTGTGAGAACGGATGTGGCGTTTCAATTTGCTAACCTGGAAGTCAAGAACAAGACTGAAGTTAGCAGAGAGGAGCAGGTCAAATCACCAAAATACCAGAAATCAGTCAAGAATTTAAGGTAGTCTGGTTTTACCTTGTCACTAAACCAAATACACATTTCAATGCCACTCTCGCACTGCAGTCACATGCTCTTGCCCACTCTACTTCACCTGCCAACCTCATTCACAGCCTTGCTTGATGCTTGCCCCGCACTCAGTGCAACCTGATTTAAAGTCCTGTGTTCACCTTACTGTTACCAACCATCTCAGTATCTGAAGACATGTTAAAATTTCAAAGTATCCTGGAGAGACATAAGAAAGTGTTCTGGGAAAGCATAAGCCAGTGGAACATTGCAGGGAGTCAGTGTGCCCTGCACAGGATATTTTTCTCCACAGATGCTTCCTTGGGTCCTCTCCAGTTACTTTGAGGAATATGATAAATCAATTTCCTACCAAAAACAACAACAAAAATTTAGTCCTACAATCAACAGAATGACTGAATTCCTTTCCTCTCTTTCTTTTATTTAGAAAGTACAAACCCAGCTCAGAGGTCAACATAAACACAAATGTTAAGACATTCTCTAACTCCAGCCTGACCACACTGCTTTATCACCAACTTATATCTACAAAACGCAGTGTGAGCTCACAGAAGGACCCACTCGATTATTCTTTACCAATGCATACTATGAAAACCACTGCAACGCAATTTATTCAGCACTCAAACCACAAGGCTTCGAATTACAGCACTGCAGCCGCACTGTGGGTAAGAAAAAAAGCCCAAAGCCCCTACTCCAGCTCTCCCACTGCAGACATCCCTTTTTAAGTTATGCTACTCATCATCTTGCTCAAATTTCCTATCACAATATAAAAGCTATCCTTAAGGAACAATACTGCATAGGGGCAAGCATTCATAGCATAACATGATTTTCAAGGAAGCATTGTTTATTTGAGCAGATGTGACAATCATCCAATATTAGCAAAGCTGCTTTTCACCAATATTGAGGCTCATTAGCTTTGGCTACGGTCACCTTAATGACATAAACAGACTATGTGCAGAAGGCACATTTCTCAAGTGGAAGGGCACCTCTAGTCTGAAAGTACACCCAGTTGCAGGAAGAGACAGCTGCCTGCTTCAGCAGAGCATATAATTCCTGCAGTCACCTTAAAGGCCAAATAAGAAACAATGACAACAACTACTGTCTCCAAGGAGGAAACGGGTATCAACCAGGATTTCTATGCATAAATGCTCTCAAACTGTTTCCTCATTAACTGAGGAAACCTCACCATTTGCTTTCAAGAACAGACCCGATTTATAAGTTCTTTTACTCAGAGCCTTCTAAGCAAATCAAAGAGGAAATGCCTAAGAACAGAGTAACAGGTGGTAAACAAGCTTCAAAGCCTCCAAGGAAGTAACAGTGCTGTAACAACCAACATACCTCCACACTAGCATAATCACACATTGAACATTTGAATGGTTTCTCATGGGTATGTTTGTAGCGGCGATGCCGAACCAACTCTCCACTGGTCACAAAGGCCATGTCACAGTCCGGGCACTTGTGAGGGCGAGTACCTAATGATTTGCAGCAAAACCAGGAGACAATGACATTGAGATTTAGTGATAAAAGGAAAAAAACCAACCCCAAACTGTCCCATATTTTAAGTAATGGATTGAAAATCTTAGAGCATGATACCCTTTCAGTGAGGAAAAACTCCCTTATTTTTCTCTCACTTGGTGATTTATAAGACATAAGCATACAGAGAAAATGAGGGACATGAATCACACTTCTCTTGACATAAGGTCATAACAAACTGAAGTTTAATTACAGTTCAATTACCTGTAGTTTTATGCCAGAAAATTTAGTAAGGAGCAACATAAATGTGCTACAGTTCCTAGCCACAAGTTTTATTGGTCCAGTTTATTACCTATTCCTTGGGTTTTTTTTTTCCTTTTTTGTTATTTTCAGTTCCTTTATGTTTAGCTCCTTATTCTTATCTTAGTTTTCTGCAAGCAGCAGTGGCAACATAAAGCTCAGAACACAAATACCCAAGACAAATTGAACATCTCTACAACTACAGGTGATGCTGGAGCAAGCCCAGGTACAGTTTTATACCTGTGTCCAGGCAGCAAACAACTTGATTTGTATGAGAAACAAACAGCAATGCATGGTCCTCTTCATTAGGGTCTGTAGCAATAGGATAAGGGGTGTTGGGTTCAAACTTAAACAGGGGAGATTTAGATTGGATATAAGGAAGAAATTCTTAACTGTGAGAGTGACGAGACACTGGCACAGGCTGCAAAGGAAATTGTGATGCCCCATCCTTGGCACTGTTCAAGGCCAGGTTGGATGGGGCTTGGAGCAAACTTGGTCTAGTGGAAGGTGCCCCTGCCCATGGCAGGGGGTTGGAACTGGATGAGCTTTAAGGTCCCTTCCATCCCAAGGCATTCTGTGATTCTATGGTTTCTTCCTTTTTAGCATGTTCCATGAAAGGAATTGGATTCATGGTGGATCCATCCTGGTTCTCTCTTTGTTCTAACAGAGCAGATCCTACAGAAACAAGGTATGCAAGAGCAAGAGTACCTGTGTGAGTGTTTAGGTGGTTCCTCAGCAATGTGACTGTCCGGAAAGCCCTGCCACAGAGATGGCACTTATGTGGTCTTTCATCAGTGTGGCTTTTCATGTGGCGGTCCAAGTTGGAACGACGTGGACAAGTGTAACTGCACAGTTCGCACTGGAATGTCTTCTTTACACCTAGCCATGAAGGAAATAATCTTTAGTCTTGACAGTACTGTGGTCTACTGTGTAACCTAAGAGTTCAGCAGCGAAAAGGAAAGGTTCTTGGAGGTGTCACCACCATAAGGAACCAACATGTACCATTAAAATCAACTGCGTATGCTTCAGAACAATCACTGTCTATGGCTGGTTTGGTTTCAATTTACATTAGTATGCCAACATTCAATATTCCTTCTCCACTCTAAAAAGGGTTCCTTCCTTAACTTACAGCTTTAAGAAAAGTCAAACATACCTATTGCTGCATTTTGTACCATCTTACCTTCCCCAGCAACTGGTTAGGAAAAACCCCACAGACCTAATTATACCATTGGTTTCTGATGCAAATCGTGTGTACACAAACACATATGTATTGCAGTGAAGAGAAAAACCTCTTCAACTGTAGTCATATAAGAATACTAATGCCACAGCATCCTACTTGAGGAAAATTAGTTCCTCTATAGCCTAGATAGAGATGGGAGGTTTGCCCAGGAAACAAGAGCCGAGTGTTATTATGTAAAGAATAAGCACCACTGGGCATGCTTGCTTTCCTCCCACTTGGACCTACTCAGTCACTTCAGTCATACTGCAAGGTCCCACCATAACAAATGCATTTTCAAAATCCACTTGTTAGATGGGGAGCTTACCTTTCTTTTTAATTTTTGTTGGTTTAGGTGGCTTCATATTGCCCACCACCTTTTCTGCATTGACCTCAGACAACAAACCCTCCTGCTGCTCCTCTTCAAAGTCATACACAGAGACATCCACATCTTTGCCTTCCTCAGTGTACCGAAGCTTACTCTTCTTGTTTTTCTTTGTTTTTTTGGCTGGTGGCTGATAGTCTGGATCTTTTTGCCAATTAGGATCTTCCTGTGGCTGAAGTTCACCTTGTTCCAGTGTTTCCACCTCACCATTTGCACCCACTTTCACTACTTGGAAGCCTTCTGGTAAAGGGAGGGTGTGACATATCATGGGCTCTCCCTCTTGCAGGCCTCCTTTGGAGGCTTCATTTTCATAAGCTCCCTGAAGTTCTTCCACAGATGTGGTGGCAACAGGTACAGTCACTGGTACAGGTACTTGGACCAGTTGAAGCTCACCAAGGTTTATAGGCTGCTCTTCCATATTAACAACCTGAAGTGTAATGATCTGTGTGTCATCCACCGTAGGTTCCGTTTCCTGAGGCACTGCGCCTTCCATTACTTCAGTCTTCATTTGAAGAAGAGCTGGATCCAGCTGCTCCATCATCACCATCTGCATACCACTGTTAACATCCTGCACTACTTCACCCCCATCTGCTTGGTCTGGTGGTATGTGACAGCCATCGTCCTCCTGCCCACCTTCACGGCGTCTTTGATAGGTTTTTCTCTCTTTTCCTTTAATAAAAGTTTCCGACTCCTCCACGATAGCTTCAACTGCCTCACCTTCCATTCTACCTTCCTGCTGTAAAAACAAGAGAATGAATGCCACACACCATCCAGTGGAGGTTCAACAACTGCACAAACCCCACAGAGGGACAAACAGCCTAACTGAAAGCAATGGGCTCAACAGCAGCATTGTAATGCCATCACATTCAGAAACAGGATTTGAGAATGAGAGTCTCCACTATGACTATGAGCCTATGAGCACTGGAAACCAAGGCAATCACATAATGCTGCCTGAAGTGAGACAACTTGTCCTGGGTTCAGCTGTAACAGTTATTTTTCTCCTTCTTAGTAGCTGGCACAGTGCTGTGTTTTATACTTTAGCCTGAGAACAATGCTGATAACACACCAATGTTTTTAGCCGTTGCTCAGTAATGCTTATTCCAATCAAGGCCATTTCAGTCTCATGCTCTGCCAGTGAGGAGGGGCACAACAAGCTAGGAGGAAGCAGAGACAGGACACCTGACCTAAAGTAGACAAAGGGGTATTCCATACCACAGCACATCATGTCCAGTATATGGACTGGGAGGAGTTACCCAGAAGGCCCAGATCGCTGTTCAGGTCAGGCTGGGTATCAGTCAACAAATGTTGAGCAATTATACTGTATATCACTTCTGTTTATTGTTGATTTTCCTTTCCCCTTTTAGCTCCCCTTGTTATTTCCCTTATTATTATTAGTGGTGGTAGCAGTAGTGGTTTTAGATTATACTTTAGTTACTGGACTGCTCTTAACCCATGGGACTTATAGGCTTTCAGTTCTCTTCCCCATCCCTCCGGGAGTGGGGGGAGGGAATTGAGTGAGCAGCTGCATAGTGCTGAGCTACCGGGTGGGCTTAAACCACAACACAATCATACCAGTTTCTTGGAAAGGAAGGAAAGCAAAGAGATTGTGACATGTATATTCCTGTTTGTCAAAGACCACAAATCCCACAGGCAGGAGGAGGTACAGAAGTATCATTCCTTACTGAGCTTGTTTAGTCACTTCACACAGCTTAGCAATATCAGAGGCAGTCTTTGGCTATAAATTTTAAAGGGACAAATAAAATACTGTTAAAAGTAAAAAGCCAACCTTATATAAAGTATGACATGTGAGAACTGCAGAACTCTTCCAAGAAGAAAAAGCATTAAGAATTGTGCACAAAACTGAACCCCTGAGCAGAGGATGCTGCACAATGCCCTCTTCAGACTGAGCAAGCTGCAACAGGCAGAGAAGGCTCAGGTAAGATTTGACTTCAAATTAAATAATGTGGATTCAGAGCTGGGGACTCGATGTCTCATACCACCTGGGTTAAAGCTATCCATAGTCACAAACAATACTGAAGCTCAGCATTTTGGTGGGCCTTAACTGTAACTCTGAAAATAGTTGCATACAAGCACAAGGTTGAGATTTTTTTCCTCCTCAGACCAGCCAGCATTATTCTCCACAGTCAGGGTAGAACACAACTCCTGTGTTTTCATTCTGCAGGAAGGTTGTTTCAACAGTCATCATAACTAGAATAATTTATGATTTGACAGATGTCTCCACCCCATCCCCCAAAGTAATAAAAATTATAGTAAAGGAATATTTCATAAGTCTACCTCTGTTCCAGGTGGTTTATTTTGGAAAAATGAAAGCAGATTCCACCACCACAAATTCATTCCCTGCATCAGTATATGATTTATTGTACCCCCCAAGTGTTAAAAAAGTACAATGGTCAATTTTAAGGCTGAAGCAAGTAACAAAGTACAAAGCTTGTGATAAAGTTCTGATTCTAGTTCCTGATATAAGAGACTTACAGATTTTCCTATTGGATTGACTGGCCTCTCAGACCAGATAACAGAATCTATTGAACTTCTCTTGGGAGCACTTCAATCTCAATGTACTACTTTCAAATATCTGCACTTCACCTTGCATTCACATTTCAGAAACACACAGGCTCGTATACACAAACATGAAACAGCATTAGTCTTTATCAGAATTGCAATACCTGTAACTTATTTTTAGAATCCTTGCTTTACTACCTTCTCTAGAGTCCAGCACTTGTGTCACAAGAACAATATAGCTCACTGTTCTGCAACCTGCTCAGACTAGGGACATCTATTCCTGTGCTGTCTTGATAGTCATACCATCATGGGCAGCAGCAGTCTCCAGAGAGCACCAGACATGCAGAAATACTAACATATGACTGCACGTGCACTCCCCCGCAGGGATGCAGCCTATCCTTCCCTTCACCACCCATCAGCTTGTCATGTCAGAGCAAATCCATAAGGACAAACAGCTAAAGTACACAGGATGAGGTAAGTACTTAACACTAGCCATCAGGCAATCCAAACAGTGCTTGTCTTTGGCCTACAGCAACTGCAATAGGAGCAAGCTGTTTCATTTACCTCAAGTATTTGCAGAGACAGAAGGGAGAAGTGTTTTCAGGTGACCAAAAGTCTCTGAACAAGAAAAGGAAGGTCAGAGCTAAATGAAATATAAGAATGTGGTAAATAGATGGGGGGGAATAACAAAAGATTTAAGATGGAGGGGAGAAAAAATAGGAAAAGCCCATATGCAGAGCTAATACAATTCCATTTTGGTGCCTTGTAGAGGAACATAGGTCAGCAAGCTTGACACAAGCACAGGCAGCTCTGAGCTCTCGTAAGGACCTTCACATTCATTGCCAATATCAAAGTTGGCAATAAGCCTAGGACACCTGAAAGCCAGCCAGCAGGCCAAGATTTGACAGTGCCCTCTACCTAGAGAAGCCACTCCAGTGGAATAGCAGAAAGCATCTTGTACACCAGCAAATCCTGTGTCCACCAAGGAACAGATCATTCACCTACCTGAACACTGGCATGCGGCTCTGTTGTCAGGGAAGTTTGCCAGCTGAAGACTGCAGGCTTACCCTGATGCCTGCAGGCCAGACTTCAAAGGATGCTCACAACAAAGGGTGAACATGTATGTGGAAGTTGAAAGACTTTTACATTCAGTAAAGAAACTAAGACACCACTATTTCTTCCAGCTCCCTCTCTAATCTTAGGAACACGTATCTTACCCTAGATTTATCTGTCACTACTCTTAGAATCAAGCAGGTTGGAAAAGAACTTCAAGATCATAAAGTCCAACTGTTCCCCCAGCCCTGCTGATGCAGAGGGTTGACTAATGTACAGGGGGGTTGTACAAGGGGGTTAGAGGAATTCCCTTGCTTAAGCAAAGGTATTATCTGTACCTATCATGCCTACTAAGCAGAACAAAGACACTAACTATTGATAAGGAAAAGCAGACACCTGGTTCTATTGACAAGGAAAAGCAGATGCCTGATTCTACTGATAAGCAGCTATTGATAAGGAAAAGCAGACACCTGAATCTACTGTTAAGGGGGAGAAGCAAATAGTTTACGGCTGGGACCAAACCCTAAGGCTGTACATGAGGACTAAAAGGTGAAAAGCTCAAGAAGAGTAAGACTCCTTTACTTCATCTTGAGACCCCTGCCCATGACCAGAGGGGGCACTGCGCAGGCGCAAAGGACCTTCTAGCTCATTGTAATATAAAGCAAGGATAGGACATGAATATGTATAGGCGTATGGTGCAATCTTATAAATGTAGAGGGAAACAACACTGAGGTACACATGACTTCGAGGAATTATCCCCGTGCGTCTCAGCGCTGAATAAAAGCATACCTACTTTACAACTTTAACGAGTTGTGGAGTCATTCCGCGCATCAATTTGGTGAGCCAGCCAGGAGGCCTGTGCTCGGCTGAAGGATTGGCTGAGGGGCGGACATCCTAGGCACCCCAGGCCGCTTGCCTGGAGGAGCTCTGCTCCTCATCCACTCACTGTTGGGACAGACAACAACCTGTGCCGGCTGCGGAGAAACGGTATGCTTGAAATTTAGGGGGCCTGTAAGGCGTACGCATGGCCCAGGGCTGCTGGTAAGGGGCGCAGAGACGTCTGGCGCACAGCGTAGTTCCCCTTGGTAGGTAGGGCTTTCAAGCAGGGGACTCGCCGACCGATAGAGCGGCCGTTAGCGATCCTGAGCGTAGATTGGGTGAGTCCAGGTTTTCGCTGCATCCCAAGTTTTGGGAACCAGGATGGACCTGCTACCATAAGAAGCAGGAGAAGGGTAAGTGGAACCATAGTGTGAGTGTGTAAGATCCCATGTGTGTTTGTGTTTCTGTGTGACTGAGATGTAGCATAGCTATGAAGCGAGTGTGAAGTCCTGATCGGAGTACTGATCCCCAGTTCCGTGTTCCCCACAGTGTCTTCCCTTTGTGTTGTGTCTAAGTGCTTTGTGTGTATATATCTGTTGCTCGAAACGTTTACCCACACTTGCAAAGCCCTGTAGCGACAGGCAAGGGACGAAACGGCAGGTGATAAGGTGTACTGGAAGTCGCAGACCCAACCCTGCATGCAGGTGGTTCAGGACACTGGTCGCTCAAGTCTGACCCAGGAGACGACAGTCTTGTTCGGCAGCATCCTGAATGACCAAGCAGCCTTTTTCAAGGACAGCACTGCTTGCTCCATATGGAGAGAGGCCTAGAAAAGGTGGCCTAACCAAAGCTCATCTCCCCCTCCACCTGGTTGGCTAGCTGTGGCCAACGGGTTT